AGAAAATTAACTCAATCCCAGCCAGAACCAGGACAAGTTCTTATTACAAACAACAGTTCTTGTTACAGTCTGAGGAGCCTTTTTCTGGCATTTTTCTGTACTTACACTGCTGAATTCTATACTGCGTTCCTGAATGGGTAGCCTTCATGAAGTCAATGATTAACCTCTTCAGTTGGTCACTAAACCAGTTTCTGATAATTAAACTGTTATTGAGACTTTTCATACTTCTTGAGTAAAGCCCTTCCATGAACTGCATTTGTTTGGCTGTTGACAGTATGGTATATGCAGATTTTGACTTCTTATGGAACTTTGACAGATCCTATCGAACTGAAATACTTTACTTTTGCCTTCCTCTCCCAGGTTCTCATGCTAAGCAGCAGTAACCAGAATAGCATTTCTTTTAATACAACTTCAAAGTCCTTGAGTCTAATATTGTTTGGTTTATTGCAGTCCGTATGATTTAGATTATGATAGGTCATGCTGTAAGTTATGACATTGACTTGTAGAAGTTGGAAGGTTTTAAAAATGCCCAAGTCAGAACTCTTGTATATAAAAGTGTACTCTTTCCCATGGCGCAGGCTCACTTGACAAATGGAGCTGCTTTTTTAAAGTTTGGCAGCAAAATGTCTATTTGCAACCAGAGCTCAGGTTTACTTTTATTTACAGCTGGGTATATTTTAAATTGTTTTTTTCACTTTTAACAAAAGTCAGAATTTGGGGCTCATTGAACCAGTGAAAAAAGGCTTTCCTCACATCATTTATATTTTTTGGCTTAAAACTTTTCTACCCTTTTCTGGTTCTTCATTTGTTAAAAAACTCAGCATTTAAAAAAGGTATTTGGAACTTGTTTGCATATGTCTGTTTCTGCAGAAATTTTTCTTTAAGTGGTAAATTAAAATCAAGTTTGCAGTCTCAGGAACATCAGCTGACACACTGTTCAGGTGCTTGTGTTAAATCCACCACAGACATTTTTGAACTACGACATGCATTTGTTGGAAAGGGCCGTTAAATCTCTGGAAACGTTGGATATGCAGATTGAGTAATGTTTGATCCACGTTATTTTCCTTTTTGTTTTTTTTTTAACTCATCTACTTTTTATTCTAAGTTTTCTGTCTTTAACAAGACTTACAGTCAGGAGCTTGGGTGCTTGAAACTCACTGTCAGTTCGATCCTTACATTTTACTATAATTCTGACCAAATTACTTCCCTTCCTTAGCTTTTTTTTATGGGTGGAACTGAAATGTTGGCTGTTTATGTAGCTCTTGGAGATGTTGAAATGCTTAATTATGATTTGAAAAGTGTTTTGAGAGGCGAAAAGAAACATTTCATGTGAGCATGAAGGCTTTTGCTTTGTTCTGTTCTTGCAAGTCCAAGGGCTCTCAGGCTTTCGTTTAATAATCTGCTTCCTGACTGACTCTGTTATCAGAATTACACGGGGGAAGAATCTCCTTTTCAACATCTTGCTCTTGTTCTGTGCTGTACAGTGTCTTCTGTCTGTGCTTTTTGCATGTGCAAAGGGCCGGGCCATTTTCCTGCCATGCTTTCTGCTTCCAGGCTCCAAGAACATGGTTTTTTATCAGTGAACATATTTATAGAAAAAAACTGTGATGAGCCACTGACTGGTTTGAGCCGATTCACTGATCTCCCACTTGGGTGCTTCCTCCTGGAGCAGTCTTGGGGGGAGCAGATGTGTGTTTGCACATCTGGCTGCTGATCTTGTTATATTTGGTTGCAGTGGATTGAAGGTGACGTTTTCATCAACTTTCTTCCTCCACAAGTCTTGATTACTTCTTCTCTTCCTCTACTTTGTGAAGAAAACTGATGGCATTTACTATGAGTCTGTTTGCTTTGTTTTATTTTTTTAACGCTGAAGGACGGGGGAAGAGGATCAGCTAGAGAAAAAGTGCTGTGCTCTGGAGGATTTCCCTCTTCTGCTGACAGAGGTTTCGGGCTGTACAACTTCATCCCTCAGAGTTTTGATATGCTTCCTAAAAAAATGAACTGAAACAGCTGCGGATACTGTCACCTCTTTGTTTTTCCATAGATACCAGTATGGTAAAGTCTTTCTGTAAAATACGTAGGAAACTCCACTTTTTCTCCCAACCACATGTTTTATAATAAAAATATTACGTTGTGAAATTCTAATGAAGATTTAAGGGGAAAAAAAAATTATTATCCTTCCCCAATTCCTGAAGGAAACTGACTATAAAAGTTCGTGATAGTTTACATAGTAGAAATTAATAGTTCATTTCAGGACATAAAAAGGCAGCCTTCTGGTGCGTTTCAAAGCTTCTGTTTAATTTTAATTTTAATCCTGTTTTCTATCCCTTAAAAAAAAAAAAAGGAGAGGAGGATAATTGCTGCTGCTCTGAGAACCAACAGAGGCTTTATTTTCAGTTATAAAATCAGCTGAGGTTACTTTTGCTAGTTCTGTTCAATAGGCTGGTGATATTAGATTAAAGATATAGACATTCTTGTTAATTAGGCTTTATAAAACTTTGACAGATCATTTTGAATATTTTCAACTTTAATAGGCAGCTTCACAGTTAACACAACTGTGATCTATTTTGCTTTACTATTTTAGTGGTTTAGGTGTTAGATCTCGAGTTTGGTTTGAAGAGAAGAAAACCAAATTAAAGATATTTTTGGCACCTGCTACTGTTTACTGTTCTTAAATGAGAGGCACTTTAGTTTGAGATCAACACCATTTCTTTGTTTGCATATTATTTATGGATCGTTTGCTAGGAAAATCACAGTTCGGTTGATTTGTGTTTATGAGTGTGTTTCTGGCATGCAACATTATTTTCATTCAAAGGGGTTAACCCTGAAGTGACCCATTTCCTAACCCTCATTGTACTACTAGTAATGGGGTATCTTTGAAAACATAATTGATTTATAAATAAACTGAGCTGCACAGTTAAGATTAAACACTATTATGTGCAATAAGATGTTCAAGCGTAGAAAACATGCAAAGTCTTAATGGAGTGCTGTTGGGATGGGTTAGTGCTGGCCTGCTGCCCTTCTCTTCCACGTAATTTTCTTCCTTAAGGTATTTCAGTGGTGGTTTATTATTTAAACCCCTCCAAATTGTTTTTCTCCCCTTGAATGACTTGTATGCACAATGAGAAGGGGAAATATTTGTAAGGAAATTACATGATTTTAAGCTTTATGGTGGAAAGATGGTAGTTGACATTATGGCAAGATATATGTAAGAGTTGTCAGACGTTTACTTTGATCTCTTTAAATTTTTTTTTTTTTTCCTTTTGACATTTGCGATTTTGCTTTTAATACCTACTTTAGTACAGCATGCTTTTTTTTTTTTTTTTTTTTTAACCTTGGGAATTTAATACTTCTGCTGTGACTCATTTCATTGACTTTTTGGTCTTTGCAATAAACTCCAAGATTTTTCTTATTTGTAATTTTTGCTTGAAAAACTCTTAGGTCTATTTCAGAAATTACCATTTCTGTTCTTTTTCATATAAAAATAGGGAGGAATTTAAAATGTTACATCTTTGGTCTTGAGCTGTACTGGAGAAGGACTCCTGAACTGTAGAATAAGGGACTATTTTCTTGCTTTTTAGATGGTTACCCAGTTCTGTGTTTGTCTGGGGCTCTGACATATTAACTGCTGTGTATTTCCATCCTTTACCATTTTTATCTTTTCAACTGTATAACAGAATTTCCGAGGTTTGTAGAGCCTGATTTAAGAGCACAGTATCTCTCCGGTGCTTGTCAGGTGTTTCCTGATGAGTACAGTCAGCTGTAACTCTGCCTGAATGTGGCATTTGATCTTGATGTATACACCTCAATACCAAGCAATTACTTCGGAGCTGGTGGCCAATGTTCCAGGCTGGCAGTTTTCATTCTTCCCGTTGCGCTTGAGCTACTTGTTAGGCTGACTGTGGAGATTTTTATTGCACAAGTATTAAAAGGCTTAGCCGGATTGGAGAGAGGCAGGCAGCAGTTATTAGAGCCACTTTCTAAATTATTTATTTAGCTAAAAACTGAAATCTGATCTTGCTTTCCTGACCTGCCAGGAGGTAATAGCATTCGGTTTCTTCTTTTAACTGTGTGAAAAAGAAATAAAAGTTTAGATTATTTTCTTTCGGTTATTCATTTACACAGAGGAAGTTGTTAGTTGCAAACTAGAGCTAGTAGAAGAATAGCCATTTGTGTTGTGTTTCTAACAGGTCCTAACAGAGAGGAGGAATTTAAGTCTGTGAACCATTAACTGAACCCCTAGAATCTAGTGGGAATATACATCTTGATTTATGCGTACTGATCTGTTTCACAAGTTCTTCCATAATTAGTGTTACTTAAGCACTTTATGTCATAAAAAAAAATTTGGTAGTTCTTCAGGCAGCAGTATGGAAACATTATTCTTGTTTCTGGTTTGCACTAACCGTGTCCAATTGCTATTTTCATGTCAGCTCTAAGTATTGAAATCCACAGTTGTTCCCTTTTCTCTCACAAATGCTCAAAAGGCATATTACACTTCAGATATCACAGCTTATAGCTTTTTCTAATTGCTTTCAAAGCCATTGAGTTATGGGAGCATATTAAGCAACCGGCACTTAAAAACTGGTGATCTCTTACATAAAAATATTATCCCAAATATTTTTATATGTATGCTTTTCAGCGCATCCAATTTTATGGCTGATTTTAGACCCTGTGGTAAACAAGCATGCTAATGGAACTGTTGGAAGCCCCTTTAAAAAGGGATCACAGTACTCTATATGCTGTGGGTGACATTCAGCTTTGATTAAATGCCGTAATAAAGCCTACATCTGTGTTGTTATTTTCAAAAGGAAATTCAGAAGGGAACACTGAATACAACTCTGCTTTTAGTTTATCTTTTGGTCTCTTTCCATCTCAACATGTGTCTCCAGTGCTTCTAGATGGAGCGTTTGGGATTTTTAACTAGGGTTCATTTAAGAAATTTGCTGCCAATGACAAAATAGGAGGCAGAACGTACAGAAGTGCAGATCATACCCAGCATGATCCTTGCCAACGCCAGCTCTGCCTTTCCCCCTCACTCCTGCCTTCTGACACCTCTGCTGGCCTGTTTGGCCATAGCACAGCTGGTCTTGGACAGAGATAGAAGTTCTGGTAAGGTGCACATTTAGTGTTGCCTTTTCTTTCCTCTCTTCTCTCCATCCTTTCTCTGCACTGTGCTTTCCACTCTCAGACATGCTCTGTATTTTTGTGAAGAGATGTTTGCAGCACCCAGTCATTCTTGTGGATAAAAAGTTGCTAGCTTTTCTGGTCTTTGCAGAGTGGATAAAAACTGGTTGGTGGTGCAAAAAAGTAAACCCAGGACATGATCTTGTCCTCTGGAATGAGCACTGTTTCAGCAGATCTCACAGAGGAGAGAAGGTGTGCGGGGAGGAGACTGGTAAAGTATGCATGCACAACTCAGTGTTGCATTATTGCCACAGGGTCTTGGGTCTCTTCTCAGTGAAATGAATTTTCCCCTCTCTGGGGCAGTTTTGCAGGTTTTGTCAATATTCCTCTGTTAAGAGTAACAAACATTTGTGGCAGTAAAATCTCGAGTATACAAGAACTTTGGGGTCATTGTGGGATCTGAAAAAGACTTTGAAAGCTTTTCCTTTTTCTTTCACTTGTTTTCTTTTAAATCAATGGATCAGATCAAAGATCACCCTCTCCCTTGCCCTCTTTCTCAAAACTCATCCTCAGACTTGCCACTCTTCAGCCAAGCTACATCTGGGTTGTAAATGAGTTGTGCTTCTAGTCAGTAAGAATCACCCAGACCTTCAGGGAGCAGAGTTCCTGACTTAATTAAATGTTACCAGGTCTGTATGAATGCTCAAACATTAACCACTGCAGTGCAGAAATTCAGATGCTCGTCCTGAAATCTGCCTTTTCCTATGAATTTTGAGGATAAGCAACACGTTGCTAAGAACAGTTACTGCCTTTCTAGTTTAGCTGTGGTTAAAAGCCTTTTCAGCTAGGATTTTAGATAAGACATAAGAAATATGCTTGAAGTTCCTTCCTTGCAGAGCTTCTGAGGTAGATGCCACGAGGGCCACTCTTTAACACGGGACTGCTTGCTTTTTGTTGTGAGTGGAGGTGGGAAAACTGATACAGTAAAATCAGTTTGGATCTTTCTGCTCTGCAAATGAAAATTCAGAAGGGGAATCAGACAAAATACTATATTTTGGACAAAAATTAATGGTTTAATATGTTTTCTCAGCATGTGTGAGGTCCTCTCCTTGTTTACAGATAAGCAAAAGTTCTCTAGATCCTGCAAGAATCAAAGAAAGGAGTCTTCCAGCCTCCACCCTCATGTGGTTGTTAGGTGTTTCTGACCACAGGATTCTTGAAGCAGAAGCCTAAAATGATGTAGGCAGCTTCTTAGATCCCATTTTGAAGGTAGAGGCATTTGGGACTAGGGATGGGGTAAAAGGGGATCTTTAAGGCTTCAGCCTCAGTTTTGAAAATGTATGCAAAGATGTACAAAGTTTGATCTGTGGGCTGCACTACAACTCCATCCACACTGTAATTTGATGAATTCAGCTATTACTGGAATTAAAGTGTATCAGTGTATATTCTGCCCAAGTATGTAGGGAAAGAAAATAACCAGTTTATTAATATCATTATCAATTATATTCGGCTGTACTGGAAGTTGTCCTCATTTCTGAAAATCTGTTCCCAGCTGGCAGTTTCAGGTGCTGAGAAGGTGATGTTGAGCATGTTTTTGATTTGTGTTTTATTTAAAGCTTACTGAGTTTGTGTTCAGTGGACAGTACAGTCACATAATTTAATCTCAGTTGTTATTCCATTTTTTTTATTCTCAAACTTTTGTCTTATGTGATCTACCAACCCGTACCCTGCCCAGTCACTCTGTTGTAATATTCTTTGTTTTCAGGTGAACAATCAGAATAATGTTCAACATAAACCTGTTGGAGAACCTGAAGGTTTACATCAGCAGTCGACCTCCACTTGTGGTCTTTATGATCAGTGTAAGTGCTATGGCAATAGCTTTTCTGACACTGGGTTATTTCTTCAAAATCAAGGAAATCAAGTCACCAGAAATGACAGAGGTAGGTACAAAAAGTTCCTGAGCTAAACAGTGGGAATGTTAATTTGAAAAACATGCCCAGAGCTAAGGAGTTACTTTTTTCTGCCCCC